CCCCCCCCCCCCCCCCCCAAAAAAAAATAATAATAATAAAGTGAAGAAGAGTGATTCGTTTCTTTTTCTTTAACGAAAAAACCAAGATCCTTTTTAAATCAGTAAATCACTCATTAATATTGACCGTCCCGGAAAACAAAGTTAAGTAGATTTGAAAAATTTATAAAGGAAATTAATAAATAAATATTGTTGTGAACGTAGCGACAGTATAATTATTCAATTCACAAAATATTTTATATTGAATATTTATTCCCATTCTTTTTTGCTGAATGATATATGCTCAAATTCTCGTTCATAGAACCCAGTGAAATGCTCCTGAATTTACCCCGTTTTATAATTATAATTATTATTTTTATTTTTTTTATCACACTTCACCTCAGGACAAAAAGGTTTCGTTTAGTGTTACAATTTTGGATCATGCAATCTGGTTGTCATTAAAATACCCAGCTCACTATGCAATGTCTTCATGGTAGTTTCGTTTTCGCAAGGGCTGTTCTATGTTCCGCTTTGTAGTTGACTCTTAACAATTTTGGTCTGAATTATTAAATTAAAGATGGTGGAAGAAGATGAATTTGTCTGTAGGCTTATATTGCCGAGCTGATTATAGAAAGCAAACGGTGCTTTCCCTATATCTGGATTCTGAAATTCTGCCAATGACGAAGGTACTCCCACAGTTTTATTTCACGCTCGCCCTTCAGGCTAACCTACTAGCCATACAGTAAAAACCCGCGACTAAGAACTTGGATTAGAAAGAACCTGTAAGGCTAAAATTTGCCACTTAGGCCCCGTCTATACAAGAAACTGTTTACCCTAAAATCTGAAACAGATTCATATTTTCTAAAATCTATGTAAAAAAAATCTGTTCACTTGGGCAAATAAGAATTAAGCCAACATTCATGATCCTCTTTGGAGACATAGGTGCTTTATTTAAATTCAACTGCAATTGTTAGCAGTCAAATAATGAATTTTTTCTTCAGAAAATACCTAAATAGCATAAATTTGTACCAATTACCATTTATGTAAGAACCTGTTTAAGCTAACTTGGGCAAATGCAGGCTTAGTCCCGGGTTTTTACTGCATTGAATTTTTAAAGGACTCTAAAACCAAGAGTTTATATATTTCATGCAGTAAATATTTTGACTTCTCAGAGACAAAGGGTCACTACGTGATAAACACGATCTCTCTGTCTGTTTATTTCTAGATAGACAGCATCCACGAACTTCGAAGTCGAAGCCTAATTTGTATCAGTACGTACGAACTAAGTTATCATTTTACAGGGGCACCCAACGGCAATTTTCGGGAAAATATCTGTTCGGAAGACGATTTGAGAACTAGAATTTTCGGAACATTTGTTGTAAAATTTCTTGCTTGCCTGCCTCTCCTAGGATTTTCGAACATCTACAATAGGAAATCTGAACAGATGAAAAGTTTTTAGGGGATAAAAATATGCCTATATCTACCGTTTAAATACTAAAATACGTTCAACAATGCTATGTTAAGTGGTTTTGAACTATATCCTCGTTGGGTGCCCCTGATTTTAGCCTCTATACGATTTGCCTCTTTGGGTCGCAACCTTTTCAAATTAAAAAAATGCAACAATAACAACCTTTTCTTTTCTTCTTGAACTACTGTCGTTAAATCTGTTGCATCTGCAAAGGAACTCTTTAAAAAGAGATGCAGAGTTTTGGAGGTACTTCATCTTCTTTATGGGTGCAGTAAATCACGGTTTTATTACTATTTAGCGTTGTTTTCCTAATATCCGATATCCCAACTTTTAAGTTGGTCACAGAGCGAAACACTTGTCTCAAACCGACATGAAGTAGATGTCTCTAGTACTTTTTTAGATTCTTTCCATTTTTGTATGAATAGGGGTACTACCTTTGGCTATATTTCAAAAAGGAACCCAGTCGAGAGAAATTCACCTTATAAGTACAACGAAGGGTATCTATTTGTAAATAAAAGGAAGACAAACACTAGAGCAAAGCGTAAAACTCATTCCAGGTATTCTGTATTCTATTACGAGTTTTATTTAAACAAATATTATATTTACGATAATACAATTGATAAGGGCCTTTTAGATCCTTTTATTAAAACTATTGGTTGCTAGCAAAAAGAAAAAGAAGCACAGTTAGTAATCATATTAAGACCAAATTCATTCTTTATCAATTTATTGAAAGTTAAGGACTCGTATTATAGAACAAATTACAGACACAGTTTAGATTGGGGTTGTTAATTTAGTATTATCGTCTCGCGTTTCACTGTCGGTTATTAATTAACGGTACTATAATTAGCGCGCGAGAGAGAGAGAAAGAGAAAAGAGACGAGAGATG